ATATATATATATATATATATACTGGGTGCAATGGGTAAATTGACGCCATTTTCTATTTTTAATTTTGTGCATGTGTGTTATCTGTTTTTGATTTTGTTGACTACACACTATAGTAGAGTCAGTTGGGAACCGTCTGTGAGAAAAAAAATCACCATAACGCAATACACTCTGCCACAAATTTGGAAACAGCATGCTATAATGCTTGGCATTCCTGCCGAAAGCTCCAATATGAACATTTCAGAGTGTTTGGGTTTCAATCTGAGGAGAGTACAGAGGATTCAGAAAGAGTTGGATGAGTCTAATTGTGATTACAAAGGTCTTTGGAGTGATCACTAGTGATGGTGATATTATGCCTACATTCAGGTGGTGCTGCACTGGGTCAAGGGTGGCTACAGGAAGTTCTTATGTCTGGCAACAGTCTCTACACCATGACACACAAGCAGGAGAACCCAGTCACTGCTGTCAGACAATTTCTACAACCACATTACCTCTTATCTCTGGCCAACTAACACCCCCAGACTGCAACCCCCTTGATTATTATGTGTGCAGCGCAGTTGAGCAGGAGACCAACAAAACCCCTTGTAATACCAAAGATGAACTGAAGACAAAGATTATGACAACATTCACCAAATTAAACAAGGAGACTGTTCACATGAGTTGCAGGAGATTCTGAAGTCATCTGGAGGCTTTAGTTGAAGCCAATGACAATTTTATTGAATAAATTTACTCTTTAGTATTTCAAAATATTTTTGTTCAGTTGTGGTATATATATCTTAAATTGAGATGTCAGTGTTATTTTCATTTTTGCATAATTTAGGTGAGAATTTATTCATCAGAGCCTATATATATATATATATATATATATATATATATATATATATATATATATATAAACACACACACTATAGGTGAAAGGATTGAGGCCACCATCTTGCAAGTGATGACAACTGAATTTACATGTGGTCTTTTTTTTTTTAAATAAATATTTCAATACACTGTTATGCAGGAATATGAAACCTCAATCCCATTTAAAGTGAGTGAAACATACGACAACATAAATATATGAAAACTTGAAACAAAACACAAATGTCTTTGTATGAAAACACTTGCATATATATATTTTATATTTGAAATTCTTAATACAAAGCATGTATTTACTTGAAAAATAACATGTACCAAAAACAATATGAATTTTTGTACTTATCTGTTTGGTTTGTTACAAGCCTGAAACATGCATCTTGATACTGTAACTTCATAGAGTAAAAAGAGAGAGATTCAGTTACCCACCTAACAATGTCTCATGTGGGTTTCATCAGGTCACATGACTGTTTTTTTATTCTCATGAATATTTATAATTAATCTTCATTGTTATATTTGTTTGGTCAAGAGGAGATAACTTTTTGCCTCCTGTTACAATACAATCTCCCCTGAAGAATTTTTTTTATTTAATGTTGGTAGTTTTTTTGTATCATAAAGGTTTTCTAGAATTTTCATTCTTTCTTGAATTAAGTCCTATATTATATATATTTTTTTTTTATTTGTCTTATGTTAATATCATTTTGGTTGTATGTAATTTGTTGATCTATATGGGCCTGGATTGTGCTACATTTTGTGAAAATGACAAGTCAACCTACAAGAGAGTGTGGTGCATGTGTGGCCAATTTAAAAATTTAATGTTGTTTATTGATTTTTACTGTTGGAGATACAATCTTTTAAAGACATGAGAATTCATAAACAACATTATTTTATATAGGATAAAATTTTGAGGTGCTGAAATTAAAAAAAAAAAAAAAAGAAAAAAAAAAGAGATGTATAAATTCAGTTTTATTATTGCAGATCAATTTCAGCAAACTAAAAATGCCAAATGTTCCATATAAGGAAATGGGGAATATTACCATTAGACAGAGAGGGTTTTATCATATAACACCAGAGAGGGTTTTATCATATATTTAATAATAATAATAATAATGATAAAGAAATTAACCAAATGCTGAATAAAGTTTATTTAAAATTTTAGCTCTTTTTGCCTGATCTAATTTACAGGCTAATGGTAATATTTGGGCTGGCAGATTTTAAATTTTAGGTGTTTTAATGGGTGTCTGTTAGCGTTCTGCCTATAAAATTCTTCTAAACAAGGAAAATTAATTAATTTTATTTTTACAAACATCATTACTTTATGGTTTTATCTGGTGAATAATACACTTTAGTAAGATTATATAAAAATGATTAAAATAGTTTTTAATTTCAGTTTTAAAATGTGTATCTACAAAAGAACAGGTGATACAGATTTGGAAATGTACACATTCTAAAAATGAAATTATTACAAGATTTTAAGTATTTTTAATATTTAATTTTAGGTGTATTTGCTAGATAAAAACATAAATTTATTTAGGGGAAAAATAACTCATTGATTTTCCTTGTTTAGAAGAAATTTATTTGCAAAACCTCAATAATACTTGACTGCCATACCAGAAAAGAATTTTTTTTTTTGCTTACTTTATAATTTTTGAAGGAAATTGCTTCCTCAGGTCAAAAAAATGAACATCTTCTGGTTGTAGTTTAAGTTGTCTCCTAATTGAGTGTACAATTTCAAGAATATTGATAAAAACTGGTCACTTTGATTTTGTGAAACAAAGTAATGTGTAAAATTTAGTATAAAAAAAAAATATCATTTCACATTTTCAGCTGGTCAAAGCAATACCGTTTTAACTCACTGTAAAAAAAATAATTCAATGAATAAAAGCACATAAAAATTTACATATTTAGAAAGATTATATTATTTTCTTTCTAGCCATATGAATATTTTTAAGATTGGATCAGAAATACACAAGATATTGTGAGTTAAACAGATTAAGTATTATCAATCTCGAATGAAATTAGATATTGACTGGAAATACTATCATTACACAAAAAAATGAATGGCTTCTTTAGAAAGCAGAAATCCTAAATTAAAAGTAGAAAAACTGAATCGAAAACCGTGGTATCAAGGGAAACAAAACCGGAAACTGATACTGAAACATAAATTGCCAAACCAACCAACTCTAAATATATATATATATATATATATATATATATATATATATATATTTATTTCAGGATATTGCACTGAAAACATGTCAAAAATCACTCCATAATTGCACTCATGTTTCAGTGCGTACCAACACATCTCATCAGATGATTGCAAATTACTGGCAAGTGAACGACTTATTTAGATCTTATATTGCGCTATTTTATATTGAGCCCACTTTTAAATTAAATGTTACAAATGTTGGAATTGTACTCAATTCATTCTCATTTTACCTGCTTATATATATATATATATATATATATATATATGAATGAGAAAATTGAAAGTTTTTTGTGATGCTTCCCATCCGTTAGGATTTCATCGGCCTGGGCTTTGATGATGTTGCCACATCTACATGAAACATGAAAAGCAAGTACTTTCAAAATTTTTTGAAAAAATTTTATTTTTTTCTCAATCTAGCCCAAATCATTTGTATATATATATATATATATATATATATATATATATATATATATATAATGAGGCATGATGGATTAGTGGATAATAGCTTGAATTGAGGAATTGGAGTGCTGAGTTTGAATTCCACTCGAATCCATCATATTCACTTATGTGCTAATACCCTTGGGAAAGTTGTGAATCCTCTTCTATTCCTTCCAGCTATGGGTAAATAGCAGGATAGACTGGGTTCTATAGCCTTGGACGGAGAAGGACAACTCTGAATTCAAAAACTAGCATTGAATATTTTGCAGTTTTAGGGAAATAAGAGAAGTGTCATTGAAATTTATTGTTCAATCACTCTGCTGTTTAGAAACCTTAGGAAAAATTCTAAAAAGTAGGAAAATGCATTATTTCTTTTTATGAATGGTGTAAAAATACTCATCTTGACATAATATAATAATTTATGAAAAATGGATTTATTATGAGAAATCAAAATGAACAAAAATAATGGTTTAATTCAAGCTAGCTCTCAACATCTTAATATAAATGGAGTCTTCTGGGAAAAATGTTCTGATTGGTTTCAAAGAATTATTTGTTATTACAAATTTGTAGAATCTAAAGAAAATGTTTTTGTGCAGCACTACATTGAGAAACTGGCTTGTTTGAATGACTACCAAAGTTAATGGGTGGTTTTGTTGAATAAAAACACCCATCACCATTTTATAAGTGTGCTGCAACAAGCAAGCACTGGATTGGGATGGAATTGTTCTTTATCATGTACCATATTCTTGAGACCTGTTAATTCCAGACATTCAATTAATTTGCTTAATGCAACTCTTCTTTTTTGGCCAGTGGTTCTAAAAATTTCAAGATCTCTAAGAATTTAATAACTCAATATTAGAATATAATTTCATTGAAAGATGAGATAAGGTTATATAAAGTCAAAAAATAAATGATGACTGAATAATGATATTATGAATTTATAGAAATGAAAGATCTTGTCCCAAACACATTCATATAATGGGAGATGCAGTTTAGCTGAAAGGCAGCATAAAATTAAAAAAAAGAGAGAAAAAGAATGAAGATAAAGATGAAAAAAGAAAAGAATAAAGAAAAAATAAAGATGAGGATGAAAAAGAAGACAATGATAAAGAAGGAGAAAAAGAAGAAGAAGAAGAAAGAAAAACAATAAAGATAAGGATAAAAAAGTATTTACTTTTGGTGCTCTAAATTTATCAGAATAAAAAAAAACATTTTGGCGTGTTTATTTTTTTTTTCATGAGGGTTAAAGACAAAACATTTGTGTTTATATTATGCCTGTTTTTTTGCACAGTGAAGAATTTAAAAATCCCTCTTCTGTTACACAATGGATGATTATTCAATGAAGAATTAAATTGGAAAAATATCTTTGTGGTTTACATTGGTAGACATTCTTAAATCAAGTAAAAAAAATGGTTTATGGAATAAGACATGAAAAAGACAAGATCTATCATTGTCAATTGTGTAAAAAAGAAAAAAATAGGGGTAAGAGAAATTAATAAAGAGAAGGAAGAAGAAGAAAGAGATAAGGATGAAGGATAAAAAAGAAGTAGATAAGGATAAAGGAGGAAAAGAGGACAAAGAAAGATAAAGATGAAGGAGAAAAAGAAAGAAAAAACAAAAAAGGAAAAAAGAAGATAAGGAAGATAAAGAAGAAGAAAAAGGATGAGGAAAAAGAAGATACAGATAATAAAGGAGAAAAAAAGAAATGGAAGATGAAGGATAAAAAGAAGATAAGGAAAAAGGAGAAAACAAGAAGATAAGGAGAAAAAGAGAAGAGAAAGGAGAAAAAGAAGATAAGGAAGATAAAGATAGAGAAGAAGAAAAGGGTAAAGAAAAAACAAAGAAGGAAAAAGAAGATAAGGAGAAAGGAGAAAAAAGAAGATAAGGAGAAAGGAGTAAAAAGAAGATAAGGAGAAAGGAGTAAAAAGAAGATAAGGAGAAAGGAGTAAAAAGAAGATAAGGAGAAAGGAGTAAAAAGAAGATAAGGAAGAGAAAAACGAAGAAGAAAATGATAGAGAAAAACAAAGAAGATGAGGAAAAAAGAAGGAAAAGTAGCTGATAGGATAAAGGAGAAAAGATAAAATTGAAGAAGAGGAGGAAAAGGATTAAAAAAAACCCAAAGTAGATAAGGATGAAAAAGAAGAAGAGAATGACAAAATAGAAAAGTAAAAAGAAGATAAAAAAGAAAAAGATAAAGGGAAAAGAAATAAAAAAAAAAAAAAGAAAAATGATGAGAGGGGAGGGGAAAAGGGTTGGGGCTGAGTAACACCTAAAAAAATGGATAAATGGTAGAGAAAAAGTGAAAACAATAGGAAAATGGGTTAGGCTTAAGAAGAAAATGAAAAAAGGGTAATGGATGTTTGAAAAGGTTTAAGAAGGAAGGATTTTTGTACAAGCAGACATCATAAAATGAAGAAGGAATGACGAATTTGACTACTTCAAAGACTGAACAAAAACTCCAACATCGTAATCGAACAAACAAAGGCAGGGGGTTGCGTCTCTTATAATGGTAGGGGTAGGGAAGGACAGTGGGATTCTTGTGATAAAACTGATGTCATCGCCCCATTTGCAGACTTCACATCTGCAAACAAGTGCATTCCTATAGTTATTATCAACAGGAGAAAAAGACACATTGGCTGATTCATTCCGATTCTGGTCACCTTAGGAACAGAAATTCAAACTCAAAGGAAGTCTTTAAAAATAGAGGACAAAAATATGTGAGAGAAAAAGCCATTTTTGCCCATGAAAGAAATGAACAAAAATGTCTTGTCTTATTTGTGCAGATCAAGTGAGATTTCCTATTGACAAAAATGATGAGGGACTCAAATTAGAAAATATTGAAATGGTAACATCAAATTAAGTAGATGTCAGCATAAAATATAATATTAAGCCGGACTTTGACATAAACTAGTGGCTCTTCAAAGAAACTGACATATATAAAAAAAGAACTAGTAAAATTGCATAAACCTAAATAGTAAGTTAATAAGATTTAACAAGAATGATGACTTTAGTTTCCAAGGAGAAATACACATTTTAACATGTAAGGACAAGTGACAATATGACATTTATATCCCATGACACATTTGCCTAAATCTAAGTAAAAACAAAAGAAGAGGAGGAGGAAGAATTATTATTATTATTATTATTAATAATAATAATAATAATACATTGATGCAGTCATAGGTCAACCATAGTTGAGATTATAAAGCCATTGTGAACTTCATGATCTTGCAAAGGACTGCATAGTATGTACTATCTATTTCTTCTTCTATGTACCATGTCCTGAAAGGACATTAGTAATCATGGCTCTCCACAATTTCCTGTCCTTTGTAGCTTTTAATAAATTTTGTCTTTTTCCTCTCTCTCCTAAACCTTGTTCTGCCAACCATATACACAAGCTCATTAGGTAGGTTATGTGTTATTTTCCTCTGTCCCTCTTGCCTTCAATAAATCCTGTAGGTTTATGGCCATATCAAGTTGTCCATACTATCATTGAAGTTAAGTTACATTGCGTCTGGTTAGTATCTAGATGGGTGACTGCTTGGGAATACCAGGTGCTCTAAGTTTTGGATGTGCAGGTTGTGTAATGGATAATAGTTCAAAATTGTAAATTGGAGAGCTGTGTTCCAATTCCAATCAGGTTGTTATCTTCACAAATACCCTTGGGAAAAGTATGAATCCATGTCTTCTTCTCCCACCTATGGGTTAATTAGTAGGACTTGTATCAGTAAATCACAATTATCTCAAAAAAATTCTTACAATCTAAAAATATTTTCTGGCTTTGAATAACTTGGAAAATGTTGATAAGCTGTAAAAGAACAAATTAATCAAACAATCAATATATCCTGTGAGTGTCAAATTTTCTAAGTTCTCTTTCCTCATTATGTGCCCAAGAAACTTCAGTTGTCTCTTTCTGATGTTAAGCATAAGTATCCTTTTGGTTTCCATTTTTTCTATATAGGGTTTTGAATTTAGGGTTGTCATTCTCCTAGACTGGTTGCCAACCATGATTAGAGAACCCAGTCTATCCTGCTATTTAACTGCAGGAACAACTAAGATATACCAGATATATATGTCAGTCTTAAAGTTATCTGAATTTCTTACATTTAGTAATGTCTGAGTAGAATACAAGAGTAAATTCTCCATATGTCAAAATACTATTATTCACTTTTGGACTCCAAAGTAATATTAGACATAGTAAGGGTTTGTGATTTTGGGTTTTTATTCAAATGATGATTCATCTTCTTGTGAGGATGCAAGGGAGTTTCTCTCTCTCTTTCTCTCACTCCTTGTAGGTCAGGTGTTTATGTAACTTCCTGTTATCCTGAGTTCAGCTGGGGTCACTTCCTTGTTTATGTTGGTGCACACACAGAGGCCCAATTCTGCATTTGGTTACTCTGAGGACAGCTTCTAGGTCAATTTTCATGTCACCTAGGACTTTTGACATCCTAAGGTAACTCTGAGAACAAAACCTAATTTGATATCTCTTAGAATGAACCCATTACATATTGGGGTCACCACACATCAACTCTTCTTAGATCCAGTTTCTTGATGAGCATTAAATTCCAGACCTCTGATATTCCCTGGCATGAATTCTATACTATCATCCTACCATGCTCAAACCAGGAAAGCTTAGTCTCATTTTTCATACTGATTTGAAAATATTCCCAACAGAAGACACCAATAAATGGATACCAAAAAGTGGGGTAATGGTTAATGAGCTAATCTGTTACTCCCTGGCATGAGTCACATACTACATCATTATTATTCACGGTTGAAGTACTCTTTTTCTTATCCGATTTCTTTTGCTTTTTACTGAATTACTCAAACCAAGATAATTTTGATGCCAAACCCACCCACTTAACAACCTAGTTCTGTTCTATTCCAACAACTTGGTTTTGGAGACTAAAGGAGTTGGTGGCTAAGTATGGAGTTGTAAGTGAAGGTCATTTTAGGTATACCTATATGTAATGAATTTGTGGTAACCAGATTAAAAATGTCACTTTTTACCCATTTGTAATATTTCTAATCTATTTTGAAATGATTATCACTTCTTGGAGTGGGGGGACTTTCAGAGTGGGGTGTAGAGGGTAAAAAATTTAAGCCCAAGCCCCAGGGTGACCTTTCTTTCAGTCAGTACCTTTCCTTTGGACGGGAATGGGTTTATTAACTGGCATCTGAAGCGTCCCTAAAAAGACAATTTTTCTACAGTATTGCTTGGTAAACCCAATCTAAACATCGACCTTATGTTACATTCAGTAATGACGAGGGCATGTTGAAAAACAACTTATATAGTTTAGTAGTGTAATGGATAGTAAACATAATAAACAAAATTGAAAATCAATTCTATATTTTGTACATTATTTTGGTTTGCACATTGTTAACACAATACCGGTCAAATTGCATTTATTTTGATTCATTTCGAAGGAAGAGAAAACAATAAAGATCAAACTTTTCATAAAATGTACAAATACCGACTGGTTGGATTTTTTATTTTATTTTAAGAGACTTTATAGCTGGTTGTAAGCCCAGAGTTTATTAAACAGGTAAGTTCATTAAACAAGATGTGACTGTAATATTATATATTTTTATTTATTTCTTCTTTTTGTCACAGTGCAATGAAATTGAACAACAAGAACACAGCTGCATGCACACAACACAGAAAGGAGTTCCACAGGTGAGAAAGGTAAGAAAAAAACAAACAAACTAGAATCTAGATTGTTCAACAGTAAAACAGTGAGACCTAATTGCCAATCTAGTATTATGCTTAAATTCATGCAGTCAAGGCACCAAGGAGGAAAGCTCATTAGAACAATTGCCATGAAAATATTTGTAGAAAAAACAAAGGGAAGCCTTGTCATGTGAGTAAGAAAGTGACTGAAGTTGAGATGCCAGGTTAGGATTGATTACATAACAGACCTTGCTTTGAATTTTGTCCAGAATCTTGAGATATATAGTGGAGAATTTTAATGGTCAGGCAATGTAATCACATTATGATAAACTGTTCTTGAAAAGTGTAATTATTTAAAATTGAAAACACTTTTTAAAAAAAAAAGATTTTTTTTTAAAGAGCATTTGCAACAAACCCCTGTAACATTGCATTCAGCTGAAAAGAGGGTTTAAGAAAACTGGCCTTGTGCTGCATCTTGCCTTGTATTGAGGTTGGTAAATAGAGAGGGTTTAAGAAAACTGGCCTTGTGCTGCATCTTGCCTTGTATTGAGGTTGGTAAATAGAGAGGGTTTAAGAAAAATGAACAAAAACAAACAAGTAAAAGAAAAAATAATTCTACAGTATTTTTAAAAAGGAAATTTGAATCAGAGGAAATCTGGTGATACTAGTTGCTCTATTTGAATGTAAAGTTTCCCTCTTTGACATGACGATCATTTATTTTCCATTTTTATTAACATAGCTACAGCTTCATAAAGAGACATTCCTTAGTGTAGAGAAATACAAGATCGAATAATTATTATAAAACTAATTTAAGGGGATAAAAGGAAGAACAAGCAGAAACGTGCAAAGATGCTAGGGTGGAGATGCATAGGCATGTGGATGAATGAATCACAGATGATGGCTAGGAAAGGACAAATTGACAATGAGACAGAAACATTATTCTGTCAAAAGATCATGTTAATATCAAAAAGATCAGTCATCCATATCTGATCAAATAGTTTTATGCACATGTGTGTTTTGGTAGGAATGTTCGTACACAAATGAACACATTCACATATACACACGCACACACATATATATATATAGAGAGAGTATGTAATAAATAGCAGGAATTGTGTGTTTGATTTTAGTGGTGACCGTTTTTCTATTTTATCTAGGTCCCACTCATCATATCACCTCAAGGTTCTAAAGTCCTTGTATATCATATCCTGTGGGCCTTCCCTTTGTAAACAGAGGGAATGCTTATTGGGTTTGAATGTTATTGGACTCTAGTTTTCTTGAAATTCATTTTTTTTTTTTTCCCTTCCATTCATTATATTAATTTAATTTACATGCTTATATATTATATTTTTTATATCCCAGAAAATAAACTTGATAAGGCTGGGACGAAACCAGTTTTTTTTTTACCTTTTTAAAATGCCATGTAAATTTTGCTTACTCCAAGCTATCGTTAAATTTTGTACCATAAAAACTTATATATATATATATATATATATATATATATATATATATATATATATATATAAATAAAAATGGTTATCTGAGCAAGGTGTGTGCTGGACAGAATGTGTATACAAAACAAAATGTATTTGACCAAT